ACACTCTAGATCCAAACTGCTACAGACCTATATCCATCCTGCCCTGCCTTTCGAAAGTATTTGAAAGCCAAGTTAACAAACAGATCACCGACCATTTCGAATACCACCGTACCTTCTCCGCTATGCAATCCGGTTTCCGAGCTGGTCATGGGTGCACTTCAGCCACACTCAAGGTCCTAAACGATATTATAACCGCGATTGATAATAGACAGTACTGTGCAGCCATCTTCATCGACCTGGCCAAGGCTTTCGACTCTGTCAACCACCGCATTCTTATTGGCAGACTAAATACTTCCACCTCTGGCCTGCTGGCTCCCCTTCCTCTGCGGAAGCATAGCTCCCGCTCAGCCCAGTCAAAACTGTTCGCTGCTCTGGCACCCCAATGGTGGAACAAGCTCCCTCACGACGCCAGGACAGCGGAGTCACTCACCACCTTCCGGAGACATTTGAAACCCCACCTCTTTAAGGAATACCTGGGATAGGATAAAGTGTTCCTTCTAAACCCCACCCCCCCCCCCCCCCCCCCCCCCCCCCCCCCCCCAAATTGTAAAGTGGTTATCCCACTGGCTATAGGGTGAACGCACCAATTTGCGAGTCGCTCTGGCTAAGAGCGTCTGCTAAATGACGTTAATGTGCCCTTGAGCAAGGCACTTAACCCTAATTGCTCCTGTAAGTCGCTCTGGATAAGAGCGTCTGCTAAATGACTAAAATGTAAATGTAAATGTAAATAGCCTTCGTTTCTCAAATGACTGCCTCGCCTGATTCACCAACTACTTCTCAGATAGAGTTCAGTGTGTCAAATCGGAGGGCCTGTTGTCTGGACCTATGGCAGTCTCTATGGGGGTGCCACAGGGTTCAATTCTTGGGCCGACACTTTTCTCTGTGTATATCAATGATGTCGCTCTTGCTGCTGGTGACTCTCAGATCCACCTCTACGCAGACGACACCATTTTGTATACATCTGGCCCTTCATTGGACACTGTGTTAACAAACCTCCAAATGAGCTTCAATGCCATACAACACTCCTTCAGTAGCCTCCAACTGCTCTTAAACACTAGTAAAACTAAATGCATGCTTTTCAATCGAACGCTGCTGGCACCCGCCCACCCGACTAGAATCACCACTCTCGACGGGTCTGACCTAGAGTATGTGGACAACTACAAATACCTAGGTGTCTGGTTAGACTGTAAACTCTCCTTCCAGACTCACATAAAGAATCTCCAATCCAAAGTTAAATCTAGAATCGGCTTCCTATTTCGCAACAAAGCCTCCTTCACTCATGCTGCCAAACATGCCCTCGTAAAACTGACTATCCTACCGATCCTTGACTTCGGCGATGTCATTTACAAAATAGCCTCCAACACTCTACTCAGCAAATTGGATGTAGTCTATCACAGTGCCATCCGTTTTGTCTCCAAAGCCCCATACACTACCCACCACTGTGACCTGTACGCTCTTGTTGGCTGGTCCTCACTACATGTTCGTCGTCAAACCCACTGGCTCCAGGCCATCTATAAATCACTGCTAGGCAAATCCCCGCCTTATCTTAGCTCATTGGTCACCATAGCAGTACCCACCCGTAGTCTGCGCTCCAGCAGGTATATCTCACTGGTCATTCCCAAAGCCAACACCTCCTTTGGCCGCCATTCCTTCCAGTTCTCTGCTGCCAATGACTGGAACGAATTGCAAAAATCTCTGAAGCTGGAGACTCTTATCTCCCTCACTAACTTTAAGCATCAGTTGTCAGAGCACCTTACCGATCACTGCACCTGTACACAGCCCATCTGAAATTAGCCCACCCAACTACCTCATCCCTATATTGTTATTTATTTTGCTCTTTTGCACCCCAGTATCTCTATTTGCACATAATCTCTTGCACATCTAGCATTCCAGTGTTAATACTATTGTAATTATTTTGCACTATAGCCTATTTATTGCCTTACCTCCATAACTTGCTACATTTGCACACACTGTATATATATTTTCGACTTTGTTTTTTTACCCCATATGTAACTCTGTGTTGTTTTTATTGCACTGCTTTGCTTTATCTTGGCCAGGTCGCAGTTGTAAATGAGAACCTGTTCTCAACTGGCTTACCTGGTTAAATGAAGGTGAAAAAAATAAAAAAATAAAAAATATTTAGACGTGTTGTGACATAAAGTATATTGCAATATTTTATGGCTGGTTATGACACCTACATAAGAGTGTCAAAGCCCACAAATCCGATCACACAAGCCAAACCATTCCATTCTACTTGTAAATAGTATGTTAAATAACATTTCCTAAAATTGGCCATTTCATTACCATTGTAATTGTACACACATTGATGACAAATACAGTGCCTTCGGAAAGTATTCAGACCCCTTGACTTTTTCCACATTTTGTTACATTACAGTCTTATTCATACAGTAGCACTTTGATCGACCTGCATCCTGAGTTTTCCCGCCGCTTCTCAGACTTCACCAAGTTTGAGACTGAGCTGGAGCTTGTATCATGCCCCCTGTCTTTCGACAGTGAGAAAGCACCACCAGACACACAATTGGAGCTCATCGACATCCAATGTGACAGTGCTTTGAAGGAGAAGTACAAATAGTTCTATGGCTCACTGAATGAAACAAAGTTTCCAAACATTAAAAAGCACGCCCAAAGGATGCTTGTTTTATTCGGGTCCACATATGTGTGTGAACAAACGTTCTCAGTCATGAATTACAACAAATCCCGTCACAGGTCAAATTTAACAAATGACCAGTTGTCAGCTGTTCTGAGAATCTCTACATCAAAGATGACACCAGACTTTGATGCCCTTGCCAAGAGAGGTGACCAGATCCATTGTTCACATTAAGACTCGAATAACTATGACTGGGTAGGCAAGGATTATGCTTTTTCATTGTGATGGTTATGCAGTGAGAATTATCCAGCAATGCACTTGGATACAGGTAATAACTAATCAGTCAGATTTGGGCTGAGGTGATTGGATAACTGTAAATATGGCTCACAATGGAGATGAGAATTGTTCCTTAATATGCTTTCAAAAACAGACCATTCCTAATGAAACAGATGCTCTTACCATATGTTTCACTCAAATTTTAGAATAGTATTTTTTTACACATCTGCTGTTACATTTTGCATGTCTCCAGTCATACAATGTATATCTATTTTTAAAGTTTGCATATTGTGACTAAGTTTGATTGTTCTTTACAAGGGTAGAGATGCAGGATCTGTGTGTGTGTTTGACTGTGTCTGTGATGTTATAAATTATATCAATTTTGTGAAAAATATGGTTCACAAAAAACAAGGGTAGAGATGGTACAAGGGTAGAATTGTTCTGCAAGCATATTTACACCTACAGTACACTAGTATTTGCGTGTCAATGTGAAAATGAATAAAGGCTTCACATGTTTTGTCACACATATAGTACGTGGCCCTTCACTTGGTTTCAAAAACTCAATGTGGCCCTTGAGCCAAAAGGTTTGCCCACCCCTGACCTAGCCCAATGCTCTGTCGCTGATGACTGGGATGAATGCAGGAGCAGGACAAAACACCCTCATTGGGACTTATGACTGACATATGGTTTTTCAGGATAAAAAAGAAACAGAATGGAGCTAAGCACAGCAAAATAAGTCAATGGGTATGAATACTTTCTGAAGGCACTGTACATCATTTGAAACTGAATTTCATGAACTTTCAGGACCACTTGTCAAACAAAGTTTAACATTTATCAGGGTTTCCTTTTTAAAGCAATTTATACAGGTCATTCTGATATAATATGTACCCTAGAGGTCAAATGTCAAAGTTCTGTTGACCTGAAAATTCCAAAATTGTATCTGATGGATAGCTGTTCATCTAAGCTTTGCAATTATATCTGATTAATGGGTATATGAGGGCAATAACTTGTTGTATACTGACATTGTTTGTCATAGTAAAATCCCTATGGGAAAAATGAATGGGAAGGAGGGATGACATTAAGAGAAAGCTGCCATTGCTGCGCTGCTATCAGACATTTTCCAACTAGGGACAAAGACCTTCAAGGAAATCACTATGAGTGTCACACCCTGATCTGTTTCACCTGTCTTTGTGATTGTCTCCACCCCCCTCGAGGTGTCGCCCATCTTCCCCATTATCCTCAGTGTATTTACATTTACATTTTAGTCATTTAGCAGACACTCTTATCCAGAGCGACTTACAGTTAGTGAGTGCATACATTATTTTATTTTTCATACCCCCCGTGGGAATCGAACCCACAACCCTGGCGTTGCAAACACCATGCTCTACCAACTGAGCTACATCCCTGCCGGCCATTCCCTCCCCTACCCTGGACGACGCTGGGCCAATTGTGCGCCGCCCCATGGGTCTCCCGGTCGCGGCCGGCTACGACAGATACCTGTGTTCTCCGTTTGTCCGTTGCCAGTTCGTTTTGTTTCGTCAAGCCTACCAGCGGTTTTCCCCTTGCTCCTGTCTTTCTCAAGTTCCTGTTTTCTAGTTTTCCCGGTTTTGACCATTCTGCCTGCCCTGACCCTGAGCCTGCCTGACATTCTGTACCTTGTCACACCATCCTGGATTATTGACCTCTGCCTGCCCTGACCCTGAGACTGCCTGCCGTTCTGTACCTTTTGGACTCTGATCTGGATTACTGACCTCTGCCTGCCCTGACCTGTTGTTTGCCTGCCCCCTGTTTTTGTAATAAACGTTTGTTACTTCGACACTGTCTGCATCTGGGTCTTCTCCTGAAACGTGATAATGAGACATCTTCACGAATTTGGGGGTCTGGCCCATAGACTATTACTGCCAATGCCATTCATTGCCAATTGAAATCAAATAAACCAACACTGCAACAAAATGTGCATATTTAGTAAGCTACTTTATTCTCTATTCATGAAAAACTTATGCATAATGTGAACTGCAGTCCTTAATTAAATGAGAAATACTGCCCTCTCTTGGCTCACTTAAGGATCATTTTGTGCATTTCTGCCTGGTTGAATAAAGTTGCATTTGAAGCCAAAATGGCGACGTGCATGTTGTCGTCAAAGATGTCGCCCATCATTAGATTTGTACTGAAAGAGCAGTACTATTCCTCGAGACCGATATATAACGGTGTGACTGAAATTTCCAGACGAGGTGAGAATATTATTTTGGTGAGTGAAGACCTCGGTTGTGTGTCGTTTCAAATGAGTAGCAACTGACAGCTAGTTAACCGTTACTGTAGCTTGTTAGCATAGCTAAAGTTAGCTAGTTACCTTAACCTGTCAAACTTAATTTCATTCCGGACCTGTCTAGTCCAGGCTGGCTAGATAATTAACTAGCAACCTACACATAAATCAGCCATTATTATAATGACATTAATAGCTAGCTACATTGTTACGGTGCTGACAAACTTACCTTTTTGAGACGAGGGAATATCGAATCGCTGACAAATCAATGAATCTTTGGACAGCTTGCTCGCTAACTCGGTAACGTTAACTGGATAACAGTTTTTGCTCTTCTAAACACGTAACGTTAAACCTCCGCGGGGGGGTTTAGCTATATATCTTACTACCACAGCATCAGGATGTTAACGTTAATTCCGTGATATGTTCTACTGCTCAGGCTACTCGACAGATGGAGATGCTCTCCCCCAGCCTGCTGCAGAAGACCGCAATGCCGCCGCAGCGTACAGCGGACTGCTGGAGCACTACACCAGTCTGGTCAGGGACGGGGCGCTGCGAGAGGACCCGCATCAGAAAGACGTGGTTCAGACCTGGGATCAAATGCACAAAACCCTACGAGGTTACAGAAACCAGCCTACGTCCATATTTTCGAAGGTAATCGGATTTCAATGCATGCACTTTGATTTTAGACACTGGTGTGCAGACTCACCAAAACACATTCAAAAATGCACAGGGGCGGTTGTAGTGATTTGGAGGCACCAGGAAGAGGCATGTCTTAACAAATGTATGGGATTTATAGTAAAGACATGTAATTTAACTGTAAAACATGTATTGCCTTTTAATGTGCCATGAACACGACCAGTCATGATGTTTTCATCTGATTGTCAAACAAATCACTTCAAAAAGTAGGTTACCTTCGCACGTTCATCCAAAATAATTCCAGCATCCAAACAGTGCACTGTGCACCCGCCAACCAAGTGCCTGAAACTATCTCACTGGGGTAAGCATCAGAGCAAGCGAAACAGCGCTCCTCTGTCTTTTCTATATCTAGCCCATGTATCTGATGCTGTCTGGCCAAAAAGAGTATGAAATCCCATAATATTTTTGGCCAGACAGCATCAGATACAGCGCCTATAGAAAGTCTACACCTTTTATTGTTTACATTTTACATTTCCGTCATTTAGCAGACGCTCTTATCCAGAGCGACTTACACATTGGTGCATTCAATTTATGATAGCCAGTGGGACAACCACTTTTCTTCATTTTTTTTTTTATGGGGGGGTAGGAGGATTAGTTTATACTATTCCAGGTATTCCTTAAAGAGGTAGGGTTTCAAGTGTCTCCGGAAGGTGGTCAGTGACTCCGCTGTCCTGGCGTCGTGGGGGAGCTTATTCCACCATTGGGGTGCCAGTGGGATTAAAATTGATTAAATTATAATTTGTTGTCAATGATCAACACAAAATACTCTAATGTGAAAGATTTTGTTTAATTTTTTAAGATGAATACAAAATAAAACACTAATATACCTTTTATTAAATAAGTATTCACCCCCCTGAGTCAATCCATGTTAGAAACACCATTGGCAGCGATTACAGCTGTGAGTCTTCTTGGATAAGTCTCATAAGAGCTTTACACACCTGTATTGTGCAATATTTGCCTATTATTCTTTTCAAAATTCTTCAAGCTTTGTAGCCCCGGACAAGCACACCTGATTCAACTTGACTAATCATCAGGCCCTCAATGAGTTGAATCAGGTGAGTTTGACCGGAGGCTACAACAAAAATGTATGCTGTTGGTGTACTGGAGGACTGGAGTTGGGAAACACTGCTCTAGTTAACCCTATATTCACACAGACTCACAATATATTGACAACGGTCTCTTTTAATTGACAGTTTTTCTCGAAGCCAAAGCTCCCAGAAGGCTTCTACATCTATGGTGATGTCGTTAAGTATAGTAGCTGTATAATATATATATATATATCTGCTGCCACTATAGTATTACATTTATGATGTTTCTCTTTTGACTTCATTGCACGTTTGGGCGGCAGGTAGCTTAGTGGGTAAGAGCGGTGTGCCAGTAACCGAAAGGTCGCTGGTTCTAATCCCCGAGCCGACTAGGTGAAAAATCTGTTGATGTGCCCTTAAGCAAGGCACTTAACCCTAATTGCTCATGTAAGTCGCTCTGGAGAAGAGCGTCTGCTAAATGACTAAAATGTAAATGTACATTTGGTGTGATTCACTCTCCAATTCACTCTTTCTCTGTTTTATTTCTAGGTACAGGGAAAACAATGGTTATGGACATGTTCTACTGACGTGGAGACAGCGAAGAAAAAGAGGGTCCATTTCCATGGCTTTATGTTGGATGTAAATAATAAGAGGTTAAGTTGTCGCCAAATGATGATTGACTTGACTGTTAAAAATCCTTCGTAATGAGTTGAGCAATAGTTTCAGATTGATTTAACTGAAATCTTTGAGGAGGTCAACGTAAACTCAATATTTGTTGTTCTACTTGTTGTATTTAGGGATACGTCGACCTTAAAAAAGCCTGCCGAAGAGCAACGCTGGGAGGATGGCTAAAGCCTACGACCCAATGGCACCACTAGCAGGGGAGATCAGTGAAGAGGCCTGTCTGTTGTGCTTTGATGAGTTTCAGGTAAGGGCCGAGGGAGATTCCTGTTACTGATCACTTGTAACCACTGTTATTATACAAAATCACCTGAATAGCATTAGCTAATGTATGGATGTGATCATGTGGAATCCTGTTTAGAGCTGGACAAATAAAGTAGTTTTCTATTATATCCAATTTTAGTATTCTATTCTATACATAGGTCCCCATGAGCTAAATATAACAGGATTAGGGCTGTCAAAGTTAAGGCGTTAAGTAACACTTTAACGCGTTACATTTTTAATGCCGTAAAAAAAGAAATACGCTGTTAATCATATCTACATACCGCACAAACCCTTTAAAGTGCACTTGTTTCCCGCACGGACAATTTTAAGCACAACTTGGTCTCGGTAGTGCTGACTGTCCCTATTGTGGTGCGCTATGCGCACAGCTTTGAGCAACAATTTTCAAGGAAAACGTACAGGATGTTCAACCATAAACACATTCCTAGGCGTTTCTTTAGATAACAGCAAAAACATAATTTGTACAGAAGTAGCTAGCTAGTTATGTTAGCTAATTAGCTAACCCAAATAACGTTTACAATACCATGCTCAATGCCTCTTGATTCAACTAACTTCCCACAATGATTTTAATCAGAACAGGACATCCATTCCATTTAGCTACTGTTTTTGTTGTAGTTCTCGGGTAAAAAGATTTAAGCAAATTATCCCAATTCTAGTAGTAGCAGCTTGTGACTAGTTAATGTTGAAGAACATGGGTAAGTAGTTTAGGCTAGATATCTGTATTATATTTTACATGAACTCAGACCTGGCTGATCTGTTATTGTCTTCTGTGGAATTCATAATATTGTTGGGCAGGTTTAAAAGCCCTTTTTGTTCTTTGTCTCCATAGTGCCAGTTATTTTTTTCCTATAGTTAACCCTCCAATCAGAAATTGGGAGAACAGTCATTTAGAACGCCTGAAGCTTTAAAAAAATACCTAGAGTCAGGTGTTTGTTAGACCATGAGACATCCCGGAAATTGGTCTTCTCACAAAAACGTCTGTAGTGTCTGACCACTCTATGAAAGGGGAGACTCTCACGAACACGATGGTGGTCAGCGTTTTGCTCTATGGCCCCAACAAGTGTCAGGGGACTCGCCTGAAGTCGGTACTGTTGATGTAGCAACTTATTTTTTTACCATCTGAACCGTTTGGGCTACAAACTAATGTGACTCGTTTGTGGAAAGGGGAGATTCTCACGAACACGATGGTTTTCTCCGTTTGGCTCTACGACCCCCACAAGTGTCACAGGACTCATCTGAAGGTAAAATAAAAAAAATAAAAAAAATGAATGGAAGTATGAAGGTAGTTTTGTGCCTACCCAAAAAGGGGTTAAATATGTGTTAAAAAACATATTTCCTGATCTTTCTTATATCTCCTATATAGGACAAACACTTCAAAAGCTTGTTTCTTATGATTTGTTTTGACTGTCTTCTCTTCCATTTATGAATGTGTTATTCAATGTGTTTCTCTGGCCTATAGTACCTTCTACCTTCTCTTCCTCGGAATCCACTGCTAAAGCCACTTTCTATCACTCTAAATGTCAAGCTTCTGCCTCTATCCCTAGGAAAGTATTGTCTACCTTTTCCTCCCTCTTTAATCCTCCACCCCCTCCCTCCTCCCTCTCTGCGGACGACTTTGTCAACCACTTTGAAAAGAAGGTTGACGACATCCGCTCCTCATTCACTCAGCCTATTGAGTCCACTGGTCCCACTCACACAGAACTACCCTACGCCTTGACCTCTTTCTCCCCCTCTCTCTCTCCAGAGGAAATCCTGCAACTAGTGGGTCCGGCCGCGCGACAACCTCCCTGCTCGACCCCATATCCTCCTCCCTTATCCAGACCATCTCTGGAGACCTTCTCCCATTCCTCACTCCCTCGTCAACTCATCCCTGACCACAGGCTGCGTCCCCTCTGACTTCAAAATAGGGTTTGAGCATAGCCTGAAGGTAGTTCCTCTTGCTGCTCCATAAACAAGTAAAATGGTAGTGGATATGAGCTTCGACTGGAAACCAGTGGAGTGTGCAGAGGGGCAGGGTGACATGGGAGAACTTGAGAAGGTTGAACACCAGGTGGGCTGCAGCATTCTGGATAAGTTGCAGGGGTTTGATGGCACAAGCGGGGAGCTCAGCCAACCGAGAGTTGCAGAAGTCCAGACGGGAGATGACAAGTGCCTGGATTAGGATCTGCGCCACTTCCTGTATGAGGTAGGGTCGTACTCCACGGATGTTGTAGAGCAAACCTACCTCTTCAAAGAGTATCTTAAATAATCCCACAGCACCCCCCCTCGCACCCCCTCCCCATAAGCCTTTCGTGAACTAACACTCACACTTGACTTCTCTCCCTTACTAGCTCTGACTTTGCTGATAGCTAGGTGGGACTTTCTTTTCTCAATAAAAGTAGCTATTTTAAGATGAATGGACTAACTCTAATTCGCTCTGGATAAGATCGTCTGCTAAATGACTAAAATGTAAATGTAAAATGACATTAAAAACATTCTGATACAGATTATTTTGTATTTTTTTCCCTTACAATCAAAACAGCATGGCTATAATCAAGGGAGGACAAACATTTTCATGATTTCACTAATATCATCGAAATCAATAGTACCATTTTATATTCCTAAAACATGCATTGAAAATGATACTGTTGTTGCATCCTGTTGTCATAGCTTTTTTTTTTTATGGCCAAGTGTCAAAACATCAGTTTTAAATGTCCAAATTCATAATCAATATGCTGAAATAACTTGTGAACTTTTGAAGACCAATACATAAAAGTTACTCCCTACACACGTGTTCAGATTACTTGTGTTTTGCGATGGCACCGACCAACATAGTCACCCTTTTTCTAGCTCCTAGCCAACTTTGCAGTATATTATTTTTATTGATCTATTTGATTTAGTACCTTCTAAACTGTACACGGACCAATATTTACAATTTTTTCGCTCTTCTTACAGACAAACGTCAATGAACTGGGTGTAATACATTTATCTGTCGATGGATGACAACCTGTCGTAGCCATTTATCAGCTTATACAGTGGGGAAAAAAAGTATTTAGTCAGCCACCAATTGTGCAAGTTCTCCCACTTAAAAAGATGAGAGAGGCCTGTAATTTTCATCATAGGTACACGTCAACTATGACAGACAAAATTAGGGGGAAAAATCCAGAAAATCACATTGTAGGATTTTTTATGAATTTATTTGCAAATTATGGTGGAAAATAAGTATTTGGTCAATAACAAACGTTTCTCAATACTTTGTTATATACCCTTTGTTGGCAATGACACAGGTCAAACGTTTTCTGTAAGTCTTCAAGGTTTTCACACACTGTTGCTGGTATTTTGGCCCATTCCTCCATGCAGATCTCCTCTAGAGCAGTGATGTTTTGGGGCTGTCGCTGGGCAACACGGACTTTCAACTCCCTCCAAAGATTTTCTATGGGGTTGAGATCTGGAGACTGGCTAGGCCACTCCAGGACCTTGAAATGCTTCTTACGAAGCCACTCCTTCGTTGCTCGGGCGGTGTGTTTGGGATCATTGTCATGCTGAAAGACCCAGCAACGTTTCATCTTCAATGCCCTTGCTGATGGAAGGAGGTTTTCACTCAAAATCACACGATACAAGGCCCCATTCATTCTTTCCTTTACACGGATCAGTCGTCCTGGTCCCTTTGCAGAAAAACAGCCCCAAAGCATGATGTTTCCACCCCCATGCTTCACAGTAGGTATGGTGTTCTTTGGATGCAACTCAGCATTCTTTGTCCTCCAAACACGACGAGTTGAGTTTTTACCAAAAAGTTATATTTTGGTTTCATCTGACCATATGACATTCTCCCAATCATCTTCTGGATCATCCAAATGCACTCTAGCAAACTTCAGACGGGCCTGGACATGTACTGGCTTAAGCAGGGGGAAACGTCTGGCACTGCAGGATTTGAGTCTCTGGCGGCGTAGTGTGTTACTGATGGTAGGCTTTGTTACTTTGGTCCCAGCTCTCTGCAGGTCATTCACTAGGTCCCCCCGTGTGGTTCTGGGATTTTTGCTCACCGTTCTTGTGATCATTTTGACCCCACGGGGTGAGATCTTGCGTGGAGCCCCAGATCGAGGGAGATTATCAGTGGTCTTGTATGTCTTCCATTTCCTAATAATTGCTCCCACAGTTGATTTCTTCAAACCAAGCTGCTTACCTATTGCAGATTCAGTCTTCCCAGCCTGGTGCAGGTCTACAATTTTGTTTCTGGTGTCCTTTGACAGCTCTTTGGTCTTGGCCATAGTGGAGTTTGGAGTGTGACTGTTTGAGGTTGTGGACAGGTGTCTTTTATACTGATAACAAGTTCAAACAGGTGCCATGAATACAGGTAACGAGTGGAGGACAGAGGAGCCTCTTAAAGAAGAAGTTACAGGTCTGTGAGAGCCAGAAATCTTGCTTGTTTGTAGGTGACCAAATACTTATTTTCCACCATAATTTGCAAATAAATTCATTAAAAATCCTACAATGTGATTTTCTGGATTTTTTCTCCTCAATTTGTCTGTCATAGTTGACGTGTACCTATGATGAAAATTACAGGCTTCTCTCATCTTTTTAAGTGGGAGAACTTGCACAATTGGTGGCTGACTAAATACTTTTTTCCCCCACTGTATTATTATTATTATTTCGGTAGATTTCCAATACGGAAATGGAAACAACACTTTTTTTGACTGGATAATTTCAACAAATCACCAGCTTCAATCGGTAGCGACGGGTTGGCTTTCATTTGAATGATCGCTTAACCCTCAAATTCATGAATTCATGTGAGGCCAGATACTTTTTTTCTTCTTCTAGCCACCGGGATTGGAAAATGACAGCTAAGGTAAGTCCCACTACGGATCATTTAGCTACACTGAACAAAAATATAAACGCAACATATAAAGTGTTGGTCCCATGTTTCATGAGCTGAAATAAAAGATCCCAGAAATGTTCCATATGTACAAAAAGCTGATTTCGCTCCAATTTTGTGCACACATTTGTTTGAAAACCTCTTTAGGAATGGGGGTTGTTGTAGTGGCCATGTCCAACCGGCCCCCAGATGGTAAGTAGAATATCTTTGTTGAGCTTGGTTCAGCACAATCCATATAGGACAATCTATACTGATATAGCCAGGCCTATTCCTCTACTGATCTAACCAGGTCTATTCCTCTCTACTGATCTAACCAGGTCTATTCCTCTCTACTGATATAGCCAGGTCTATTCCTCTCTACTGATCTAACCAGGTCTATTCCTCTGATCTAGCCAGGTCTATTCCTCTCTACTGATCTAGCCAGGTCTATTCCTCTGTTCTAGCCAGGTCTATTCCTCTCTACTGATCTAGCCAGGTCTATTCCTCTCTACTGATCTAGCCAGGTCTATTCCTCTCTACTGATCTAACCAGGTCTATTCCTCTCTACTGATCTAGCCAGGTCTATTCCTCTGATCTAGCCAGGTCTATTCCTCTCTACTGATCTAGCCAGGTCTATTCCTCTACTGATCTAGCCAGGTCTATTCCTCTCTACTGATATAGCCAGGTCTATTCCTCTATACTGATATAGCCAGGTCTATTCCTCTCTACTGATCTAGCCAGGTCTATTCCTCTATACTGATCTAACCAGGTCTATTCCTCTGATCTAGCCAGGTCTATTCCTCTACTGTTCTAGCCAGGTCTATTCCTCTCTACTGATCTAGCCAGGTCTATTCCTCTACTGATATAGCCAGGTCTATTCCTCTCTACTGATCTAACCAGGTCTATTCCTCTACTGATCTAGCCAGGTCTATTCCTCTACTGATCTAGCCAGGTCTATTCCTCTCTACTGATCTAGCCAGGCCTATTCCTCTCTACTGATCTAGCCAGGTCTATTCCTCTACTGATCTAACCAGGTCTATTCCTCTCTACTGATCTAGCCAGGTCTATTCCTCTACTGATCTAGCCAGGTCTATTCCTCTGATCTAGCCAGGTCTATTCCTCTACTGATCTAGCCAGGTCTATTCCTCTCTACTGATCTAGCCAGGCCTATTCCTCTCTACTGATCTAGCCAGGTCTATTCCTCTACTGATCTAACCAGGTCTATTCCTCTCTACTGATCTAGCCAGGTCTATTCCTCTACTGATCTAACCAGGTCTATTCCTCTCTACTGATCTAGCCAGGTCTATTCCTCTACTGATCTAGCCAGGTCTATTCCTCTACTGATCTAGCCAGGTCTATTCCTCTCTACTGATCTAGCCAGGTCTATTCCTCTACTGATATAGCCAGGTCTATTCCTCTCTACTGATCTAGCCAGGTCTATTCCTCTCTACTGATCTAGCCAGGTCTATTCCTCTCTACTGATCTAACCAGGTCTATTCCTCTCTACTGATCTAACCAGGTCTATTCCTCTGATCTAGCCAGGTCTATTCCTCTGATCTAGCCAGGTCTATTCCTCTCTACTGATCTAGCCAGGTCTATTACTGTCTTCTAGATTTGTACAAGAACGGAATACAGAGGGTCAACTTTGTGCCATTCATTGCTGTGTTAAAGGTAAAGAAGTACATTTCTGATGTTTCTTTGGTATATTAGACAATACATAGTCAATCTTACAGTAGTCTGCCCCTCTTCTCTCATGCAGAACTATTGCCAAGAGCTTCGGCTAGACTCTGGGATAGACTACCGCAGGAGAAACAGACCCTCGGATGGAAAACTCTACTTCCTGTAATAACTGCATGGTGCAAACCATGGATACAACCATAAAGCACTCTACTCACTATATTGGGGTTTAGTAAGGTAGGATTTATTTTAACATGGACATCTTTCTTTCAAGCCTATTGTGAGTGCCGGGAAGGAGGGGGGTGGTCAACTGTGCCCGTAAATTGATTTAGGGTTGCCCTAAACTGTTTATTTGGTAAACATTCCTATGTCACACACACACCAAACCCCATGATAGGAACCAATTAAGTTCTTGCCTAGCAACAGAGATATGACCATTCAAAAAAATTCACAAAAATCCACATCAATCCCCCTTCTTTGGGAATACATAGTCCCATATCAATACCTCCAAATACTTCAAATGTATATAGTGACTAATATGTGAATACGGTAACCTAATAATCAAGATGTTCATGATATCAGTCTCAATCCTTACATTAACTTCCACGTTTCAAACCATATAAGTGTATCCGAAGACATTACCATAAGGTACCGCTGTTTTAACCATAATATCTATTTAAGACAGTTATCTCGCAATTGTACAAGCAATACCCATTATGCTGAAAATAGTTTTAACATCTTTATTTACTAATATATATACTAATGATTTACGTAAATCAGTCTGTCATCTTATAAATCATAACCAAAACCAAATGACTTATCTCAACCACATTTAGAATGGCAATTCTTAGTAATTCACATTGGTCCTATCACTCAAAATTAAAACCCTCAACTTTAGCACCCATTACAACTGTCAGAGTGTACACGCATATTAACATACAGTATAAATATCCATAATTCTATTATGACCTTCCTCATCCTGAGAATAACTACAGATTATTATCTCAATGCATTCTTAGTACTATTAATTTAGCAGTGTATATACCTCCTACCCAAATTAGCAAATTTAGATAAATCCACATTTATTATCGCACAGCTAACCAACCCCTTCCTTCCCCGGCACTTAAATCTTCTGGCGTCTCTTCATTATCTTCCTCAGACAGCTTCATAGTTGTCAAGGGGTGCTGAAGGTGGGTGTGGTGCAGGAATCAAGCGCAGGACGCAGAAGCTAAGTCCAAAAGACTTTAGTGAGTTATTCACGTAGTACACGAGAACACTAAGCCCGGAGGCGAAATAACGGCGCACACAGGCGTCAAACAAAAGGGCGCACAAACATGTGCGAAAACCTCTCCAAACACGGAGGGAAGAATACGTAGCTCCGAACACCAAACAGAGGAGCAATCACACACAACACCATACACACACAACGAGAACTAAATAGGACACTAATGAGGACTAACTAGACACAGGTGTACAACATCCAGACAAAACCAAACGAACATGAAACATAGATCGGTGGCAGCTAGTACTCCGGGGACGACGACCGCCGAAACCTGCCCGAACAAGGAGGAGGAGCAGCCTCGGCCGAAACCGTGACAATAGTTCAAAATGCATTGCCCATGACAATGTCCCAACTTCAATGTCTCATCCGAGTCACCACCATCTCTACCCCCCATTGTGTCTTGTCCATTTGCCAACCAGTATACCAACAACATGAGAAATGTTGTATTTGAACAGATCTTTCTCCATTCTCACTCAATGGTGGACTCCTGTCCCACTCCCTCGAGATAAAAACATGAGAGAAAATCCGTTGATAGCTTTGATTGGCTGTTGTAGACCGATTGCAGGTAGAAGTGGTGCTGTACAGGAACGTCTTCAACGCCTCTGATGTTCATCTTCAGCCGGTTCACAGGTTGTTTCTTCTTTAGGTTCACACCCTTCTAGGCCAAATGATCCCTGCTATGCATCAAGACAGCATCTGTATTTACCTCAAAAGAAGACAGAACATAACAGTTTAGTTGAGTTCATTTCTAATCCAAGAAATCCATATAAGCATTGACTATATGACAAATTATTATGTTTTACCAATTATTCTTAATACCAATTTCTATTATACTCCCCAATTTCTGTTAGGGAAACCCTCCACAGACAGAGAAATGAATGGGGTGACAGTCAGGTGATTCTTGAAATTCTGGAAGATCTTGAAGTTCTTGGAGGTCTGTCCGTCCGCTGAAGGAATCAGCCAGAACACGTTGCTCATCAGTAGCATTCCCCTTGCCATCGTCTCCCATCACCTGATCCTTGTCAGCTCCAGCATCCTCAGCTCCCTTATCTCTAGGTCGTCGGTTTCCTCGTAGTAGTCTGTTGCAGTGGTTTACATGAGACCATGTCGATCTCCCCTCTCTCCGTACATCTGTTGGTGTAGACTGGGTGACGATGTATGGTCCTTTTAGCTCTGAACCTTCTTCCTTCACTAGGGTCTAGGATCATGCAGAGTCCTTCTCCATTTATCAACATCGCTCTGTGGAGTGTGTCCTTATGGCAGCGTACCAATAGGGAAGTTGAGAGTCCCTGCTGCAATGACACACAGACACAGAAGAAAGCAATACTCCGCCGTGGCGGTGCCATCTTCCTCCTCTGGGTTGGAACACTCCTCCCCACCTGGGTTTTGTCCATCTCTTCCTTCTGTAATCCTTTACCGCCGGTCTCCAGGGTGCAGACAATGCCCAGATTCTCCTGTTAGGTTGGCAGCGAAGCCTTCACCTGGTGGGAAGAAAGTCTCAACAACATTGTTAGGTGCCACCGTATGCTACTATACCCTGTCTTCTTATCAGTCAGGAGAAGCCTTGAGAAGTGCACATTCTTGCAGCTTGTTATAGGTCATTAGTTTCATAGATAGGCCTCCTCTACACCATGCCTCCTACCACAAATACACTTTCACCTAAAACATTTAATCTAACCCATAACACATTAATTACTACTTCTCATATTTTTAATACAATTTGCCTATTTACCAAAAAGCCTCATGCAACCAGTACTTCCCCCCCTTTAGACACATGACTCACATCGTGATTCGTGCATTCAAAAAACAAAACAACAACATTGCCTGAAACCAAAATAATAAATGAAATGAAAATGACATATGATAATACCTTAACGTAATTGTATCCCATCAAGTAATATCAAAATTCACTAGTGCCAGGTGTTCCTCATTCAGGACTAGTTCTCTCACTCGGACCTTTTGTTACGTGAATTATTTAACAAACTATTTCAGTGTCTCTGTGCGTCTCCCAAAATCAAGAAACGGACAGAGTCCCGGTCTGCATAGTCAGAGATGTTTATTCATTGAGAATTCTGCCATCACAATTTCAGAGTCCATCTTTTATACTCACACGTCATACAAAAATCCCTCCTCTCTGTAGGCGGGCTGTAGTTTTCCACTTTATAATTGCTCTCCTGACCATCAGTTCACACACACACGCACTCTTCCAAGCCTAACAGTTTCTCTCCTCCCTAAATTCCTCAGTTATCTTGGTTTCTCAGTTGCCTGTAGACAGTTCTCCTTGTCCTTTGTTGTCTGGTCTAACTCTTACTCACATTGCTAAATAGTAGCTCAATGTCATAGTCTTTACTGGTCCTACACTCACACATTCTAACACATTTCACACAGTTTCAGGGTGTAATAATTAGTCATTAATAATTATTCTATCACCTTTATGGTCCGAATCATATATAGGACCATTGCCAAATTATAAACTTCTTCCAAATTATCAGTATTATAAATTACCCTCAACTCTGTATAATAAATTACCTTAAATTCCTCATCCTATGCCTCGTGGCTTTCAAGTGTGGGTGATCAATTCACACTAAAAAGTCAGGACAGAGTTCAGAGGTCATTCAAACCCTTCAAGGAAGTGTTCCATTCTATAGTATAGACTAATCATTAACAACCTTCAAAACTTTCATAAATGTTTTGTATCCCAAGTGTACAGTAAGTCCTCATTACATTTCTTCTCAAAAGAAATCACGTGTTTACCCAAAACGTACTCATAAAACAAAAAACGTCAAAGTTCCCTGTGTGTTCTTTTAAGACTTACCATCTCTGACCCGTTAAAACCCCCTAAAATTAAAATAAAAACCCTATATAACCATTATAATAGGTGGGTTCTGTGTGGTTATTTGAAAAACCATATTGGAAAACAACAAACCAAAACAAACAAGCCTTATTTATTTTGGTAGCTCCCTCTTACGACCTTATTATAAGACTGCCGAATTCTACTAACTGCTCCCCGCAGCCCACATACTTTGGAAACATTCCAATGAGATGTAAGGAAATCCCATTTTCCTTGAAGAGAAAGTATACATTTCATTAACATTCAATTATAATCAGCAATCCAAAATTAGTAATTACACACAAAACATGATGCAGATATACACTGTCCTACCTCACATCAATAATCGTTTGTTTCAATCTAATTCCTCATAACTACTCCAGAAGAAGATTACATAAAATCTCTCAAAATATGAAAAGCACTCAAGGTTCTTTGAGTTTACAATGAGTATTTTTAATTGATAACTCTTTATACCTCATTCTCTGTAATTCTCACAATGATTGATTATTAAACCCCAAAATGGGCTTCATTTTATCCCATATCAAATCATCATGGTATCGTTACTGGATGACTTTCCCCTTAGATTGTTCCTGTCACCCCTCTAAATGTAATATTTGAGACATTCACAAATATAATAAATTACTACACGTAAAGAATCAGTGATATTTGATTCCAAGCATCTATTAAAAAGTTGTTTGAGATGTGATCTCCTACGTCTTCCTTAACATACCTACTGTAGGGTACTTCCACCAATCCTATAAGAAATAATTACACTCAAAACACATCAGATAATACCACATTTCATTAAGTTGACTACATCTTCTAATATAAACCCTTTTCGGTAATGTAATCATCTCAACTTGTTGATGTTTTAAAATAAAAACCTATTGTATAATAAATTCAGAACTTACAAGAAATGTTCACGTCTCCATCAGCATAATGGTAAAGACTACCTCCCATTGTTCAACGGACCAGAAACAGATTATCGTTTTAGAATGAATTAACTGTCTGCAAAACTCACTGGTGTTAAGCAAACTATAGAATTTTAATAATAATA